TAAAATATTCCCAACCAACCAATCCATATTTTCAAATGTCACCGTGCTTCAGCTACACAATTCCTTTTTTGTATCATTTTATCACAGTCATCAAAATCATCATAACATTTTTAAGACACAATAGTGCTACCACTTAATAAGCCAAGTAAAAAAAAAAGAGTAGTTTCTTGGCCTAATGTTTTGAAAAAAGGATCTGAATAAGGGCACTTTTTTTCTTTTTTACTCCGAGATGGCAAATCCAAGATGGTCGATGAGAAACAGAGCACTACTACTTTCTCACTTTTACCAAGTAGACACATTGAAAGCAAATAAAAGAAGCACTAGACACGATTCATACAGTATGTATCCCCAACCACGAACAATCGAGAGAGGAATTTGACTGATGTGAGTTCGTAAAATAAAAGAAATTAAAAAAAATTTGGTGAGGCACAGAAAATGGTTGTGAGAGGGGTCGAGAAACTAGTAATTGTTTTTATTTGGTCTTAAATCATTAACACAAATGAGTCAAAAGCCTCTATAAGAAAAGCTGTTTCTTGAAAATGCTGTGAAATACATTCAATCTTCAAAATGACCAAATTGACGACGAATAATAATGCAGATTATGCTTTGCCTCCTTTGGCCACATGGATTTCAGACCTAACGCGAAATCAATGGACTAATCAGATTCACCGAATCAAACACCTACGCAAACAGCCTATGCCATCAAGCCATTAAATGAGTTTCTCTAGCTATTAGATGAGATAAATTTAGACGGTGGCACTAGCAGCATATATAATATGCTGTTCCATGTGCACAACACAACAACCTATCATGATACCTTTCTAAGAGTATGAAAAAGAAAAATTAAAGGATGAAATCTTGTTTTACATATTTTTAATCAACTCAATTTAAGTCTCTTTTAATACCAAAATAAATAAATTCAATAAAGGTCTAGAGGATGTACAGAAAAGATATTGTAATATCAAAAATGAAGTAAATGATATAGTGATCAAAAATCAAAATATTAACATTTATGATTGATGCTACCTACTGTATACTATTACTAGATATACTGTATAACACTAGTAGTAGCCATTTTATACTTAATAAATTTATAAATATTTCACAGAGAAAAACAATCAGCATTTAAAGCAAGTAAGAGGCAATATAGAAGTCCTAGAATATGTACAGTAAAGACATTGTGATATAGTGATCAAAAATTATAATATTAAAATTTATAAATGCCAACTCTACACTAGTATCCATTTTAGATATATTCAATTTCTAAATATTTCCGAGAAAAATAATCAGCATTTAAAGCAAGTGAAATTAAAAGGAAGTACATACAAAAAATGTTGATACAGGAATTGATATCTATAGGAATATCGATTTTGAGGTAAGTTTCTTCTACTGAAAATAAATACGGTAAATTGCAGTTTCTATGGCTAGGTGGTTGCTGAAGAATGTTGTAATAATTAAGTAAAAGGTCATTCATGAGTTGAACACTGTGATTGACCTTTTAAGAACAACAGTTAACTATGCCCTCAATCGCAGGGTAAAAATAAGAAATTGACAAAAACAGATAACTACAGTGTTTTTTTTTCTTGTTTACTGCTGAAATAATACACCTTCAATACAATTATTTTAAAGATGTAATTGTCCCAAGAATGGAAATAAAAAACATCATTATCAACATGAATGTAGAAATTAAGGTATTCTAAAATATTAAAATACAGTATTTTACACCCTAAATTTACCCGGATGATGATAAAAATGAACATAATGATGCTCATCAGAGGGTAACAGGAAAAATCACATCATTGTAGTTGCTTGTAGCTACTGCTATCATCATCATACAGTAGTCCTCATCATCAATTATGGTCATCCTCGTCATCTATCATCATCACAATTATAATCACCATAATCATCATTCTCATAGTCATCATCATTTTGATCATTATCATCATCACTATCCACATCATCATATAATAAAATGATACCAGTGTCACATCATCATTATCATTATTACCAGCGACTACAAATTACATCACTTCCCTTCTTTGTGGAACCCGGTCAACATTAATGTAAGGTAAACACGCTACGGCATTATACTTTCAACAATAATTATCTAGGTCATGATAACAATATTTACAGAGAAATATGTATTGTAAATATTAGTAATAGAATTATCCTAGTAAACTAGACTGCATGCCCCAATGTTCCTACCCACCATACCCTTGCAATTAAACACCAGCTTGCACAAGAATAATTCTGTATACTTAAAAAAAAAAATCATTGTTATATTATGAAATATGATACAATGTTGTATTTGTCAATTGTTAAGCAGTTTGGCACAATGGTAGGCTAGAAAGCTTAGAATGACAGTCAGGCTTGCTGAAAGCAGTTAAAAGAAATTTCTGTTGTGATGGATCAATGCTCATTTTGTGTCAGTGTATGCAATAAAATTCCTAACACTTTTGTACCAAGTGTATGCAATCATATAAATATTATTAGTATGAATTATATATTTAATATTGAATTCAACATTTTGTCAAAACAAAAACACAGAGGACATATTAATGCAAGACTATTATATCGGTACCTTGTTTAGTGAACTTATTTTTTAAAGATTGTCATAAAAGTATGAAAAACAAAATTGTTTGTTTTCTTATATATTAGGAGTGCCTCTTAACTAGTAACAGCCTTAACATCGGTGCTGATTGAAGCCACTACTCGTCTAGGGCTCGGTTTTGGTTCTCTTAATGGACAATGATGTGAACGTCTCTCTACGACTACAAAATAGTCACAGACAGTCAATGATACTTACCAGTGACGTTATTGGTTATTTTCCCTATCTGCTAAACTTTGGTCTAATGCTCTACGTTCAATATCATTTATTTGCCCAGTGTCAATTATTGAAGTAACTCTTTTAATTTTAACACTTGTTTGAGATGGATAAAGAATGGATTGGCCAACTTTGTTTAAAGTTGATTTAATAATCCCAATTGAACTGAACACAATTAAATTGGATTCTGGATAAACCAGATACAAATATTAAAGGTACAAGAGATTCCCCTGTGTCTTCCTGTTACTGTCGGTAGTCATGTCTGCCTCGCAGGCCTGGGAAGGAAATTTCTGCCTCTACCATAACCATGAAAATTATCTGGATAAAATGCTTTTTTAGAGTAGCAAATGTTGCCTGAAGACTACAGCTAAGCCGTGGGGGGGAGCGAGCAAAATAAAAAGAATAAAGTGTTGTTTTCTCACTTGAAATTCCCCAGGTGATATGCGCAATCTCTCCATTATACAACATAGCCTGACACTGGATGTTTGGTAATTGCAAAAAAAAAAAATAATAATAGCAAAATACCTCCTGGAAAATGCGCAGTGCTTCCGACTACACAGTCACACGCTTATCCATCTCTGTTGCCTCAGCTGCTCTGCTAAACCACTTTGAATTTTGATTTAGGTAAAAGTCAGGTTGTCTTCCACTCGCGAGTTTTCATGTACATTTTTTTCTGAGATTATCTGAAGTTCTATTTCAGTAATTTGATAATAAATTATCCTTCAAAAAGTCTGCCTCTGAATTAAACAGGATGTTGGTCATATTCGCAGGAACTCATTGATTCTGCCCCAAAATGTCTCAACAACTGCCATGATACGTTTCATTTCCAAGACTCTGGGAACAGATACCATTACCGTATCTATTTGACAATCCTTATCAATCACAAGTTTTAGGTCTGATCTATGCACCAAGCACTATATCTCAATGTATTGACTGTTTATTAACTGTTTATGTTTGCTTACTTTTTATAATCTGCTTACTTATGACCTTTGCCTTTTTGATTATTTTTATCAAACTATAGTTTATAACTTTATAATGTTTAAATTTTGTATTTGTTTGTGTAGCTTAAGTTAAGAGGAAAGAGTACAAAATTATTTGTTTAAGCTAATTGCCTATTCTCTTTCCTGGCCATTGATCTCGAATGCCGAATAAATATTATTATTATTATTATTATTATTATTATTATTATTATTATTATTATACAGTATTGGAATATTTCCATGGAATGTATCAACATTATTTGATCACATTTTTCAGTTGTGAAGTCATCATTTTCATTTCCAGGTATTTCACTATCTTGAGTGGGCACTAATTGAATAGAGTGTGTGGGTATCTTTTGTGAATGCACACAACGAACTTAACAAATGTTGCTCTATGACGTTAGCGAACATGAATGAAGCCTCAACCTAGGCTAGGCCTACTAGCCTAGAATACGGTAGTTTTTTGCTATGAGCGAGAAATGACCTTCAGCCCTGCAAGGGTTTAGGCATATTTTCGGGTACGTGGAAGGCGCTGACCCCAGAGCCTCACTGTTCTTGTTCTTATTACCAGAACTTGAAAAGCATCCAGCGTCGCCATTTTTGAATGGATGTGCAGGAAATTTTGTACACACAAGCTAGAGGTGGATTTCCAAAAACGTTCATTGCCTTCTTTTAATTTGGACCCCAGGGTTCCCCCTACACCTACAAAATAAAACACGGGTTTCAGCGAAGGACTGTACTTTATGCTATTACCACTAATAGGGCACATCGCATGGATGGCGCGGTCGGTTAAGGATTTGTTCTTGGTAATCAATTTTTTGAATAGAAATTTTATTTTTTTAAATTTTAAGATATTTTAATTTTTGTACAAACGAACATTCTAAATAATATATTTTTTTCTACACATAAACATTCTAATTATTTAAAATTTCCGTCTTATTAGCTCTTCTAAAAAATTTATGAGTGGAGGAAAGGGCAGACCGGTGAGCGGTCGCTCCTGTTTCAGGAAACAGTTGCTCTTTCAGCTTCTATTTTCTATTGTTTCCTAAAGAACTTGAATAAATTTGCATAACATAACAAGAGGTAAATTAGATGATTTTTTTTCACACAGAAATGTAGATGTAGAACTACAGCAAACAATAGTGACAAACATAACGAAAATCAACAAAAAGCAACAACAGCAACAAGCTGCTTACCACATAGAGATATGATGCTACCACTGTCTTCATGTACAAACTTGCGGGTGACTGCTTCTTCCATTATCTGTTTCACCTGTGAATGATCACAAACAAAAATACACGCTCAGAAATAATTTTAGACTAAATTTGTCATATTAATTCCTATGGAATGGACTGTTAGAATGTTGTAAACTACACAGTATGTATATACCCGATGATTGATTGATTTCATAATTTGTTATTCACTACAATCAATAGATCTCATACATCTCATTAAAAATCCTATAAAACAATCATAACTAGAGCAGTCACATTGAATGCAAATCTCTGTCTTGTGTCTAGATACCAAACTCTCAGACTGTGTATGGGTGATTCCATTACGATGTTTTTCTTGAATTATGTAACATTCCATTATTAAATTTTACGATATTTTGATAATTTAAGAAAAATCAATTATAACAGAATACAACGTATCATGAATCAGGCTGGAATAATTCTACAACGAAATAGATAACTAGAATATATCTGAGATTAAAATTATTGATAAAGTAAAGAGTATCTTAACAGATAGTTCCCACCCACTAAACGCATCATTTACTTGGCTACCCTCGAGTAAAATGTTAAAATCACAAACCTGCAGAACAATAGATATTTTAACTCATTCATACCACTATCCATTAAATTCTTAATCAAAATATCATATACGTTTTAGGGCATAACTATTATGTTGTTTTGTATTAATCTTGCACTTTGTTTTGCGATGTACCAACTTATTTTCTGAACAAACACAAATAAAGTATCTTTAATTTAATAGATTTTGTGCAGTCTTGCTAACAAACAGACAGGGGTGAATACATAACCTCCTTGGAAGAGGTAATTAACAATTTAACATCAATACGCTATGTTACACTACAGCCCTTGTTGCAATGTTCAATTTCATTTCATAATATTAAATACAATAAATATTGTAGCAGCTTGCCATCAATAATGATGTGTATCATATAGGTTGCCCTACTATCTGGTTCGGGAGCACCCAATTTTTCTAGCAAACCCCCCTCTCTTTTTTGGCTAACTCCCCTCTTCAAATTTCGCAAATAAGTCCTTTGGGGGTTTCACTGGGGCTTCGACCGGGGACCTCACGCCCAGAAAACCCCCTCTTGGAAGAACCTGGCTACGGGCCTGATTATAGTGAAAGGCAACATTAATTATTATAAGCTGCATATTTGCTAATTTATAGACAACAGTATTATTATCATAAAAAGAAACTTAACAGTCACAAAAAAGGAATCCCATGGTTACAAGGCAGCCCACAATGCATGATATCATTATTACTATTGGATTGGATTATTATTTTCATTATTTCTTGATGTATTGGTACTGGTACGGGCATTTATAATGCGCCTCTTCCTTGCGGTTATAAAGCGCAGTTCCTTTCCCTGGTCATTGGGTCCACATGCTAAGTGTTGCTGGTGGTAATCAGCGCAGGAGCAGGCAACTCCACCAGGTACCATTAATATTCCTGGGTGGAGAGAAGCAATGCAGATAAAGTGTCTTGCTCAAGGACACAAGCGAAATGCACAGTGAAGGATTGAAACCCCGACCTCGAGGTTGGGAAACCAAACCGTTTCCCGCTGCGCCAAACTGCTTCTATGATGCCACCAACGGGTAACAGATTCCATGTCTTTGTTCAGTCGTTGACAATATAATCCTAATATGCTCCTTTTTTTTTTAAAGTATGAACAATTTCCGTGTGTACAGTAGTACTGTACCATATTTTATAGGACAAGCCATAAAAGATGTACTGGCCACCTGTTGGCTTGTCTCCTCCACTTTGTATTGCATGTGATAAATTGATATATAAATAAAAATAAATAAAATTTAATATCTTAAACAAAGATTTAAACAATTTCCAACAAGATAACGGTTTTTGTAGGTAACTTTGATCAGTAGGGTAAGGATGCTTTGATCTTTAGTTTATTCATAGTTATGTCACCTACTAGGGGTAATGTTTTGATTGATCAAACACTTATGGTAGTTGTGCATATAAACTTGCTTGCTTGGATAATTTTTCATTCCTGATGATGACATAATTAATGTTGAATCCCGACACGATGGCATGCAGCATTTTGATACTTGGAGTATTTATTATACTATCTTATCTGAAATTAATCAGTGGACCTTTCGATAACGGTAGCAATCAATGGAAGAAGAGCAAAATTTCAGTTCACCCAGCTACAATCCATACTACAAATGCCCTGATTACACAAGGCAGAACTATTTAACTGTTGTTAAGGATGTTTGTAATACATATTCTAAATCTTTCATAATCACTACGGAAATACAATAAATACAGTAAACATACACAGTATAGCAAATGGGAGCACTGGTGATCAAAGGTTGTTTACATGACCTCTATCCAGGCCGAAATGATTCAGCCTACGATAGCTACAGTACTGTAATTAGCTTAATTAAATCTATGAGCATTATTATGCAACTTTCTTATATTATGCGCTATATAAAACATTATAATTATTATTTATAATAGCGAACAATTTCCAAGAACACATTTTTGCCAAATATAAAACTCAAATATATTACATTTTCAATTTTCTGTTTAGTATATATTAATATTATAAATATTTCCTCAATCTTGAATTTAATGTTTCAAGGTCAAATATCCTACAATCCAGTTCAGATTCGCTTTTTTTTTGTAGCGAATGAATATTTAACGTGCATTACCTAACAGTGATGACATCATAGTAATGGCTTTGAGCTTCCAACGTCATAGAGTTCTAGACCGACACTGGCTCCATTGATAATTTCGTTCGTCAAGACAATGTATTTATGGTTTTGTCAAAAAACAACCAAGTGTGTATGAAATAAAATTTAAAAATATTTAGAGACTGAACTTTAAATTCCCATAAATTAATTTATTCCTACTATAATTGCCTGAATGCAGATATGCAAATTAGTAAACCGAAATATGTTACAGTGATGTATACATACTCCCTTGCGATGCGCTTTAAAAATCTGCTACTTATGACATGATGTTCTATGAGTTATGACTGCTGTTTCCAAAGGTGAAGTGACAGCATTAACAAGTAGGTTGCTGACAGTTATTGAGTTGCATTTTTATCTGAAACAGACCTTATCAATCGGGTGATTTTCATCCCTAGTAAATTTATAGTTTGATCCAAAAAAATAAACATTTCATGGAAAATTTAGAAAGAAAATAGCAGCCATATTAGTCAAATAATCAATTACAAAAGAAATATTAAACTGGACAGCATTTAATTATGCCTAAAACAATTATTTTCGACACAAGCTTTCACTAGCTCAAGTTATCTTTCAGGTGATAAATTAAGAATTTATAAAATTATTAAAATAAAAACCCTTCTAAAAATTCTTTTAATATATTACAAAATAATAAAAGTGTGAGTTTGTAAAAAAAAAGAGTATGTGGTAGATTTTTGTTGGGAATTATTTTTATTTCATTGGTTGGTATAAGTGAATGAAATGTTCGCTGAGAAATGGAAATTAATGAAAATCAGAGTGCGTGAATTTGCAATTAAGTTATCTCCATGACCAAAACAAACACGGCTGATTGGTCAGTTTAGTAAAAACCTTTGCAATAATATAAGTGAGACTAGATTTCAGAAAATAATTTGTCAACATAAAGTCAATATATAGTAGTAGTAATTTCAGGCTAAGAAAATGAATTTTTTTGTTGACAATGAAACCAAACAGCTACAAGCTTAGACTATCTTGGCTACGCTGGCCTGAATTGCAAACATTTTCATCATATTCATGTACGGTGGTGCGAAGAAGTGTTTAAGAGTAAACTACAATGGAAACAACATACTGTACAGAGACCAAAGGACTTAATCTTGAAAAGAACCCCAAGGGTTTCTGAATTTAAGATAGTATGGATTTCTTTTCGAGATTGTACACATTCAGACAATATATTTAATGATTCTGATAGCACTGTCAGTACAAATATTATTTTATTGTAGCATGGTTAAAATAATTTCCGCACAATGTAATAAGTAAAACGGTATTATTGGGCTTGGTTTAAGGATTATGTGCATGCATTCCATTTTGAGAAGCTGTTTAATGGAGAAAGTGCAGGGTAGGTTGAACTTGAAGCTAACTCTGGCTATATAAATTCATTAGAAGATTGAAAATTGTTAATGTAATTAATATAAGTTACCAATGTACACATGTTTTAATAAATTATACATACCAGACTGTCTACTGTTATTTTATGGTAATAAATTATACCAAAAGCTGTATTTTTATTATATAATAATGTATTAGTAGTTCAACAGATCATCGTCAGAATGCTTCTCATCATTAGGCCT